TGAGTTGACCCATTAGAGGCAACAGCTTCATTTTTAAAAATCACCTCTCCTGTAGCCTGGTGTCTCTGCTGAGGCACCATGTCTCTGAGTTGAGTTTTACCCAGAGGTTCTATAAAATAGCACCTTGTCACCCTGCTCCATGGACTTCTACTAATTATCCTTCTACACCTTAAAGCATCATTTCACAAAATGACTCTTCTCTGTCCTGCAGACATTCACAGTAAAGACAGTGACCAAATCCTGCACTCCTGCAGTCACTCGTAGCATATCCAGGTACAACAAGAGAAGATAAAACCCAGGCAAGTTGAGGAGCTGCTGTTTTAAGTGCCACATTTTCCTATTAAACCTGTGTGTGTGTGTATATATATGTACATATGGCTATATTTAGTGGGGGTGGACAGACACCAAGCATCTCACAGACAAGAGGAGGCTGCAGTAAGTCCTGCACAAGGCCACAGAAAGGATATCCATTAACCTCACTGGTTCAGGAGCAGAGGGAGTGGAACTGAACTGTGGGAAGATGCTGAGACAGAAAAACTCACCCAGCCAGACTGGCTTTGCAGAGTGTCAACCAACAAAAGTGTCCAGCTCAACTCCAAACATCCCACCCTGTACACTCCCAACAATGAGGATGGTCAATACAGGGCTCAAAACACAAGTTTGGCTTTGCCTTTAAAACAGGGCTGACCAATTTGTAGAAAATAACTTCTGTTAAAATAAACAGAAGGGGTGGGGGAGACCAGAGGCTGCATTCCAATCCCCTGCAACGGCTCAACAAGCCACACCCAGTCCTAATAGGAGGGAGAGTTTGCACTTCACCCACCTAAAGCACATCTCCACCCCTTCTCCTCTTGGAATACAGGGCTACCCATTTTTTTTTTATTATTAACTTGACTAAAAAGGGGTGAAACAAGAAGCAAGCAGTGCCATTTACTAAAATCTAAGGGACAAAAATTGAGTGGCAAGTCCCTGAAATGCCATGCCTTGTCCCATTCCCACAAAGGTCCCTTTGCTATCCATTCCTGCACAAGGTTTAGAAAAAGCCCCACAAACATCCTGTGCTACACAGCAGCTGTGTTCAAAGACCTCCCACCTGGAGATGAAACTTCTCATTTTGGGCTTTTCTTTCTACTTTTTTTAAAGCAGCTTTTCCACTTGGCCATCAAGAACTCAAGTATACTTAAATTAAAGTTTTCAGTATCAAACAGCAAAACCCAGAATTATGTGGAAGTGTTTTAAGAGGTGGATTTGAGAACTCAGGCCCTTCAGCAGGGAGGTTACTTATTAAAACACACACACTAATAAACAGCTGCCAGTTTCTGCAAGGGTGCACACCCCAGCACCAGTAAAAGTGGAAGCTGGTATAAACTGGTGCAGAGGAGCATAGAAATGGGATAGTATTTTTCAGAAAGCACCTATGGAGGCAGTGAAATGTGAAAAGGAAGCTGCTGGCAGCAGCAAACAACAGATGTGCTTCACAGATGGGAGGTGTCCCCCTCCTGCAGTGGCAAGGCAGCAGATGGAGTGAGCTCTGGGAAGTATGCTGACCCAAAACTGCTGTTTCAGTGTCCCTGGGGATGATGGCACCTCTGTTTGCCTTTTTACAGACAACTCCATTTCACAAGGCTGTCCTGCCCACACGTGCGTGCTCCTTCGATACTGAGGTCACCCACTTCTCTGCTTCATGGGGAAGGGCAACATACTTCAGTCCATGCACATCAGACCTGTAAAACTCACAGACCTTCATTCAAAGCCTAAGGAAAATGATGCAGGTATGCCCCAAAATGTTTGGCACAGTCTTCATCTTCTCTCCTCCAAACTCATGGCAGTCCTTCCAACATCAACGTGCAAATTCTGGCTGAGCAGCACCCAGGAGAAGCCACACACCACAGCCTTTGAAGGAGTTTTTTTCCCTTTGTCCTTCATATTTCCACATCTCACTTTGCAATCAGATTTAAAATGTTTTTTTCCAACCTTATCAAAAGCAGTTTGAACTTTAAATGTAACATCTAGAAGCCAGTGTGAGAGATCCCAGGCAGCTTACCCCCTTTTCTCTGCTACAAGCTGTCCAAGGTCTAACTGGGGTGTTCTCAGCCATGTTCCTCAGGCCAGCAAACCACCTTCCTCTGAACTTCAAAGGGCTGCAACAGGAGCAAAGACCTGAAGAGGCTGGATCCTGGCTGGTGCTGTTTCTCAACAGCTTTCGGCCACCACAGCGCAGCTGATGGACTCATGTGCTGCAGCACTGGTTTTACTGGGCTTGGGAAGAAGGGAGAGAGAGGGGAGAGGAAGAAAGGGAGAGAAGAGCCACATGCAGGGATGCATATTCATGATTTTTTTTTGCTCTGACTCTTACAAGCCAAAGCAACAGAAAAGAGAGAGGAAAAACTGCACCCTGACAGAGAAACAAAAGAACAAGCTCCTAACTTCTTGGAACAAAACCTACTAGAAACCATGAGACAGAAGAAAAATCCCATTTTCAGTGTAAATCTTCAGTTTCCCATTCTTCTTTCCCTGTTACATTATAACAAGATAAGTGTTTTTCTAAATAAAACCTAAAGAAAGAACAAATGAAGTGAGAGGATAAGCACTCCTGGCTCCACCACACCAGGAGGTAAAAACATTTACCATGCTCAGCAGGCATGTTTCTGGCTGGCTGAAAAATAAACTTGCAGCAGCCAAGGACAACATTTGCTTCCTCACCAGAGGTAACTGAGCTGCTCTTGGCATGACAAAAAGCAACAGAAAGCTGACTGACCTAGGGCTCACAGTTTTGGCTTTGATAGCAAGAGGACAAGGGGAAGGTGACTCCTCAGAGGTGAGCAGAGGGGACAGGCAGGAGCTGCTTGCTGCCCTGCAGCTCTCACACTAAGCTCTGGAAGAGGGGCTAAGAGAGGCAGGCACACAGGGCACCATCTCCCCAGCAGCAGAACTGCTGGTCCAAGCAGTCATTCTTGGATAGCAGATTGCTTCAGCACATGGTAGCCTAGCCCCACGTACACCAGGACACCCAGGGATGGGCAGGGGGTAGGAAGATAAGCTACCAATAAACCAGAGTGAGGGCTGCAGAGGCAGAGCCTGGTTTTGTGTTTAATGACTCCTTCCAGAGCAGACACAAACCCAGCCCCCTCCAAAACAAGTTGAAACTGTAGCTAACCTCAGAAGAGGCAATGGGTGTCAAGACAACAAATGTCAGAGAGCTATTTCAGCCTGACAGCTGAAGCTGCTTAGGGAAGCACTAGACCTACATGGAAAGGGTTTCCTTCTGTCCTGCTCTCTGTGCCTGAATTTAGGTACCCTAGAAACACAAAGGACCCTTCAGCCTAGAAGTGCCACTGCTGCTTCACAAGCCAAACACCAGCACCCCCCTGCCTCTCTGCAGGGTCACTCTGGACTGCTGGGAAGTGGCCTCCACGACAGGGTCTCTTCACCAAGAAAAAATGACATGGCCACCACACATCAGGGAACTGTGATCAGATTCTGCTGTCCTGATACTGCATCTTGTGGCAGAACACAAAATAACTTGTGTAGAGAAGGGAAATCAATTTATACAATTGTAGGATGACGTGTAAAAGCTCCTTTATGAGCAGAAGACAGTTGTGAGCTAAGATGGGGAAAGCAAGATATTTTCTGTGATTTCCTGCTGTTAAAGACTGAAATATGCAGGCTAGGATGAATTCAAAGGCAAAGCAGCTTGAAAAGTTTCAAGCTTATGGTAAATCTGACCAGTAAAATCTTTTTTCTTTAAGAAGTATGCTCATCTAAGAGTTGCAGAAAAAACAAGCAGTTATGTAGGTTTCCCATGCCTCTCTCCTCACTGATGAAGAGCACTCTACACTGAGTTCTTTACTGCAAATACAGCAATTTGACATCCCCCTTGAGGATGCTGTGCTAGTCAACTTTTATCCCATTGTAACACCTACTGCAACACCAATGGACCAACAGCTCAGTGTCCAGAGAAGACACAGGAAAACAGGGCATTCTTCACAGCACAGGATGTGCTTGCATGAGTTCTGGTACCAGCTTCCAGAGCTGAACAGAAAGCCTAAATAAAGTAGTTTTCCAAATAGTCTTTCAGGTATAGAGGTGGCAGTAATGAACATGGAAATAGAATAAAAAGCAGCCTAAGAGGGTTCAAGGCACAGGGCTGTGAAGTCTTTTATAAAACATTAACTCACTGCACAGTTTGACAAGGCTGTGTTCTCAGATTATGAAAGAAAACCTGCCTAGGACCTGCTGTCCTCCTCAAGTGCACTCAAACCCCAGCAGATCTAGTCACTCCTGGGGGAAACAAGACAAAACAGCAGGCAAAGAAAAAAGCCAACTGACTGTCAAGTTTTTCTGACAGGTGTTTTCCAAGAGCCCAAGATCTTCACAGTATCCTGCCACCTTCTGTCATCATCTGCAAAATCCTGAGAGCAAGTACAAAGTAGACACTTGGGGCATGCTGGGAAGAGAACAAATGGAAATCCCACCTACTTCTAACCAAGGAGCTATTTCTGCTCCAAAAGTGGACAGGCAGCTTTCTCCCTGGGCCAAGCAGTCAATCCCACATAGAATATAGTTGGTTTTGTTTCTTTCTGGTGGGTTGGGTTTGTACCAAGTCCATTGCCAGCAGGAGGAAAAAGCAGGAGGAAAACATTCATGCAATGTAGAAGCCTTTAAATTAGATGGGGGCCAAATATCTCACCACAGTTCAAGCCAACTCCTTCCCAAGGTTTTGCAGAGTGCTAGATAAGTGAATCCTTAAGAAGGTTATAAGGTTAATGGAGACCTTTTGTGCAGAGAATCAAAACAAAGACTGTACTGAAGATTACACTCTCTCCTTACAGAGAGATGACTCAGTGCCTTATCACACACTATTTAAAAAAAAATAAATTAAACAAAACAGATTTAAGAATAGCAGCAAGAAGGGGGGTTGTGTATTATGGCCACTCCAAGCCCCACCACACGGGATACTTTATTCCATGAAAACAAAGATGTTCTTCCCAAAGCACTCTGCAGGGCCCAAGCTGAGGAAGAAAACAGAACTCTGAACACTCTCATTTGGTCACTAGAGTAGGAGAAGGGAAGAAGAGAGAGAGAGAGAGAGAGGGGCCAGCCAGCTGCCTGACTGATTTCAGCACTGCAAACCTATGACTCTCGACTGCATATTTAGTGAGTCAGTGTCCCAGGCAAAGAGGAGAGAGGGGAAGAAGGCTGGGAGAACTCAGGCCACGGTGCTAATTCCTTTCCTGCACAAAGACAGTCTCTTGAGGACACAGGCCTGCCTCCTGTAACGTGATCTCATAGTCCAGGTGGGAGAGTTTCCTGCGAGGGAAGTTGGTGAGGAGCTCGAAGCGCTCGTTGGGGTATCCTTTGGACTGGACATGCTTCACAAGGGCCTGCAGAGAAAGAAAGGCAAACAAGTGTCACATAATTCAAAACAACACAAAAGAAGGTAAAAAATAATCCTGTTTGCCTTTAAGAAAAGGATGTTTGTAATCATAGAAAAAGGACATTTTGCATATAGACCCTCTTTTACTTTAATATCTAATTGGGCCCACGCTGGTATGAATAATCATAAAAACTAATTACCAACTGATCCCTTACCTAACTGATTATTTACATAGAAGAAAGACATAATAACAGATCCATCCATCAACCTGAATTCCACATCACACATTTGAGTCACTGTAAAATAAGATTGGAAAAAAAAAAACAACCTGGAAGTGTCCCAAAACTAGAAGCTTCCTCACTTGTTGATCAGACATCACCCTTACACTTAAACCTAAAAGCCATCAAAGAAGCATTTTTGTGAGGTAGCACTGACAAAAATAAATGTAGGGGGTTGATTTGGTTGTTTTTTTTCCTGCCTTCAAGAAGCATGAGCTTTTGATCACCCTTACACTTAAACCTAAAAGCCATCAAAGAAGCATTTTTGTGAGGTAGCACTGACAAAAAATAAATGTAGGGGTTTGATTTGGTTGTTTTTTTGGAGCTTTTGGAGTTCTTTTGGTTTGGTTTTTTTGGAGTTTTTTTCAATTCATTGACTTATCTGCCTTGCCTTGCCCAATGGCAATTGGGGCAGGATACAGAAGGGATTGGGATGAAGGAGTATCAGACTCACAAAAAAAACAGGCAGCTGTATCAGGGATAGCCAATGTCCACAGGATGCTAAAAGAGATTGGCCAGGTTCATCAGGAAGCAGAGCAGATGAGACCAGAAAGTGCAGAGAAACTGACTGGCAGCAGAGGGAGAGATATGGCAACAGAGCAAGACTCAGGCAGAATGAAAAGCTGCAGCTTTTAAAATCACCAGAGAGAAGCAATGCATGCTGCTGGAGGGAACTGCCAAAATGAGTCTGGGAAGCCTGCTGCTTGCCCAGAGCCAAGATCCAGGATGTCCTGGATTGTCAAAACTCCTCCAGAAAGCCCAACGTGTGTCTGCAGTGCTGCCCTTGCAGCTGCACCACCAAGAGTGTTGCTCGAGGGATGTGATTAGGTCACTCTGCTGGAAAACTCTCTTTGGTTTCAGTCTCTCCACATTCAAGACAGGCAAGGAAAAAAGCTGGAGAGGATCTAATGGAAAGCCATCAAAATGACTGGAGTATATATAGGACATGCCTTGCTTGGTGCCTGAAAAAGGGTTGAAGGACTTGGGAATTGTTCAGCCTAGAAAAGAAAAGGCTTGGTGGGAATATCATCACAGTGTCCCAAGATAATGATAAATGCATTTTTTTCACAGAGATGCATGGTGACAGGAGACAACACACCAAAGTTGCTCCATTTGGTGATGAATTTCAACTGAACACAAAGAAGGAATTCTTTATGGTGAGAGAAATTAAACTTTGAGTAAGGTGCTCAGAGAAGTGGTGGAATGTTCCTTGCTGAAGTATTCTAGACTCAGCTTGAGAGGGCCCTGGATAACTTCATCTACAGCCCAGCTTTCAACAGAGGGTTAGACCAGATCATCTCTAGGGATCTTTTTCCACTTGGACTCTTCCAAGACTTGATGATTGCAGAACCTCCACAGACTTCTGGATTCCTCAAAATCCACACACAAACCTTTGGTATGGGGAGTCTGTTGTCCCAACCTCCTTTTTTACCTGGACTGTTCACCAGCAAGCTTTGCAGATGACAATGCCTGTGTCTGATGAGGAAGGCAAGTGAGTGAGTTTTACTTCCTTTTCAGCCAACAGGGATGACCAAAATTCCCTTACCAAACACTTCATTTAAAAAATCAGTTAAGTTCACTGCCCTCATCCACATCCTGTCCCACTTAAAAGCTCAACCTTTCCTGCACACCTTACAACAGCTTGGCAAACAGAAGTTATCCAGGCAAGCAGTCAGTGATGCAGACAAGTGCTGAGCTGCTGAGCAGAGTGAAGTCAGCCTACTTAATTGCACACAATGAGCAATTGAATTGCCTCTGTAAAAACACAGTGTGGGCTTTTCTTTCTGTCTTTTTTTTTTTTTTTGCCTGGGGAGGGGAAAGAAAGGATTATGGTAATACTGGAAACCTTAGCACATCCTGGAGATGGGTAACCAAGCCACTCTTCATCAATACAAAGTTTTAAAGAGCAGCCAATGCTTGTATTAGAGCAATATTGCATGACCCATAAAAACTCCTGAAGTGCAACTATCTCCTTAAAAATTTCTTTTCTGAACAGTTTTAAAATGGAAGCAACTAAGTGAATAAAAAGCAGCATGGAAGCAATGCTGACAAAGAAACATCTTGATCTGACTGAAATGGCTTTAAGAGATTACATGGCATGAGCACAAAAGCTCCCTGTCCAGCTCTGTGATAAAAAGTTACCTTTACCCACAAACCTTGACTCACCTAAATTCCTCTGCTGACTGTAAAGCAGGAGGCAGCAAAGGAAATCACATGCTGAAATCAACTTCCTTTAATGACCACAATCCATAAAAGGAGTCAAACCACAAGGCAGACTTACCAGGAATATCAATATTACTCCTGTCTATCACCTAAATACATTAGCCAATGCTCTTACTGCAGGGAATGATTCTTCCTCAGTCTTCACAGCCCCAGGACCCCAGTGTAGCACTGCAGGCAGCTGACATCCTACCTGTTGACACCTGGCTTTGAGGGAGCTCACAGGATAGCAAAAGGAACTTTTTTTTCCCCCTTTTATTTTCAAACCAGAGTTAAGGATGATAATGTGAGCTCAAGACACTGTTTACTTCTAGAGTGCTGCAGACTGGGTTATAGGCTCATTTTCTGTAAGAGGTGTGACACACTTCTCCTAAATCTGCATCCTGATGTCCTTTTGCCCTCCCTAAGACTTCAATGCAGAGCTCTTAAGCTTATTTTAATGTAATTAACCTAAGTGGCCACTGTGTTATGAAAACTCACAGCTAACAGGAATACAGTGAGCTCCTTACACCATGCCTCCAGCTAAGCACCTGCAAAATTTTGATGGACATGCCATCCACATCAACTTCTCCAGGGTAAACAAGCCCAAAGGACAGTTGAGATGCACACTTGAAGCAGAGCAATTAAATAATATTTTAATAAATGTGTTTGGGGAGAAGTTCCTCCAAAGTCTGGTCTGTCCTACACGTCCAGAAGGCTGTGTGGAAGTCTGATGAAAGAGATGGAGAACAAGAATGGAGAGTTTTGCCTTTGATGTTAATGTTGTCTGACCATGGGTAACAACAGAACCTTTCCATTTAGGAAAAGAAAACCCAACAACAAACAAAATACCAAAACCAAACCAACAATGAGTGAGCTGAAGAGGATTTTATGGTCATCTAATGGTTAATGCAAATGTCATTTAGAATCACTCACCAGAAGTTTGGCTTGTTCAGGCAGTGAAATTTGTTCCCTCTTTCCATCTGGATACCTCAGCATCAGCTGTGCCTTTGGTCCTAGCATAAAGGAAGTTACTGCAAGTTAACAACAACCAGGCAGCTGAACTGAGCCCTTCTGCAGGTTTTAGGTGGCACCCTTTACTGCATGGCATAGCAGGGTTAGGGACTGCAGACAGATCCAAGCTCCCAGTCTATGAAGAGACTGTTACTCCATGTTCAAAATATACATCAAACTCAAGACTCTTGCACTCAAGCCCTGCCATAGGCACCTGTATTACCCCAGTCAGTACTTTATTTGTGGACAAGGTCTCAAAATGAGAAACTTGAGCTCAGGGACTAACAGGACTTGGCAGTTTGTGGCATCACTATGCCAAAGTGGGGGTGCTGGTGAATGGCTCAAATGTCTGGTGCCAAGGAGGGAGTAAGACAGAAGAAAAGATTAAGCTTTTCAAAACAAGGGATGAAACTGTGTTTGTCAGTTTACAAAGGTTCTCAGGAAAAAAAACTAACCAACCAGCACAGAGGTGAATATAACAAAAAGTGACAACTTACCATTCACATCTAGGCCTTGAAAGGGACTTTCAGGCTTGTCAGTCAGCTCCTCCAGTAGCCCTGTGTCAATGCAGGGCAGCACTCTGTGATTTGGTGCTGTGGCAGGCTCAGTCCTTGCAGGGGGCTCGGGCTGAGCCCTTCGGCTCTCCTCTTTCTTATACCCCGAGTCCTTGTGCGGAGACTTCCTCAGCTTGGCAGGATTCTCCAGCTCCTCCTCCTCCTCAGAGCCACACACAGAAATGAACTCCTCACTTCCAGAGAAAAGCTCTGACTCTGACTCCTCATCTGAGCGACTCTCCTGCTTGGCCTGGGAGGAATCAAAGTGTGTCTCCTGCAAGGAGGCCCTGATGGCAGCTTCCAGCTGGCTGTCCTCGCTGGCGTCAATGAGGCTCTCCTGTGGAGTACAGGCATAAGACAAACACATAAAAACTGCTTCTAAAGAGGCACTGAAAAATCAAGAGGAGATCACTCTTCCAAAGAGAAGCTGCTAGAAGTGCGAGGAGCAAAGAGCATAGAAAGCCAGTCATGCTGTGACTACTTCTCCTTGGAGTCTTGCAGGAAGCAATATAATTTCCTTTCACCCAGGCAGAATTCTGTGACTGCTAAATCCAAAACAAATGCCAAAAAGCACAAACTACACAACAGAACTATACTAAGGGAGAAGGCATACCCTGGCACTCTCTATTTTCCCATGCTCTTGCACTAAGTCCTTAAGTCTGCTTATAGTACTGAATGGGAAATCAGTATGGCTGGGTAAAAACAGGCTAGCATGTTCTGTCAGGCTTCTCCAGTCCTCCTGGAGGGCCTCCTACTTACTGAACGAGAGCATTTTTGTGGAGGGCTGGTAGAATGGCCATCCAGCTGCCCATGCTCACTCAGGAACCCAGTCACTTGGTCCAAGAAAGAAGTCACGTCCAGCTGGTGCCACTCCACTAGTTTCTGGCCTAAGAGAACAAAAGGTGTCATGAAACACAGGTTGCAATCCTTTGCTGAAATTCAGGGTCAAACACACCAACCCACTGCTGTGCAGGTACTGTGCAGGAGTCCATGTTTGTGGAACTGCAGCTTCCTACAGGCTACCACCTGATAATTATGAAGCTTCCCCCTTCCACTCCCTTGAAAATGTTTCCATCATGGACAGACATAAATACAGATTCTGTTTATTTCCTCTCTTTTCTTTTTATCTATGGCAATGTGTGCCAAGAATGGTGAATTAAGCTTTGAAATGAAGAAAAGCCAAAGCACTAAGTTTATGGAGAAGTGTCTCTACATTCTTGCCTCTACCTTGGCAAACAGCATTTGTTTCCATAAGGAAAGTGCCACGAAGATCATCCTAACTTCAGTTTCAACATTAAAAAAGAAATAAAGTTGGGGTGATTTAAGTGAAATAAAAAGCAATCTCAGCTCTGATGACAAACATTACTTCAGTCCTGAGAAGCAGGAGGCTAGACCATTAATATAGTTGCACTATACAATGATAAAAGAAGAAAGGGTGTTGGGCTACAAAAGAAAAAGTAACAATTTCAGAAGAGCTGGAGAAGGTAGAAGTTTGATTCTTCAGGTAAAAACAACCAACCAACCACAAATCCAACACCACAATTTTGCAAGTTTAAAAACAACCAACCAACCACAAATCCAACACCAAAATGGTATCTCAAAATCAAGATGCAATTTTGCAAGTCGTCACTGAGCCTCACAGAGCTGCTGTG